CACATACATTTAATTTGGAAAAACCTGTATTCGGATTCACATATGTTCCAAAACCTTCAAATTGTTGCTTCCCCTTCCCTTTTGGATAGGCATGCTTGACTTTTTGTGTTTTTGTGGATTGTGAATGGGTTTCAGATGGAGGCACAGGTGGCGAATCCTGAATATTAGATGCAGCACCAGTCAATGTGCATAGAAATATTGTGAGACTTTTATCCATTAATAAAAACAAACTTAAGTTGTTATTTACCTCTTGTTGGGTTGGGGTTGGGGTATTTTTCCTTGCTCTCTTTTCTGCCTTCTTCTACAAACATGATCCACAAAGTTAGCATTATTTTAGGGTGAAAAATTAAATTAAACAAAAAAAAAAAAACTGAGTTGTTAAACCCATTACTAGCCAATCAGCGCTTCTAGCTCTTTCTTTCTTTCTTGTAGTGGGAGCTGTGGCTTGTTGAACTGGTAGAGTTGGGCTGACTACTTGACTCACTGGAGGATCTTCTTGGGTCATGTTCACTAGTTCTTCCTCAGCAATGCGTGGCAGGTTGTCTTCTCCATGAGGTGGCTGGTTGTCCTCAACAGGGGGTGGTTGCTCCACAGATGGTTCATTCTCCATTTGGGGCACCTAAAAATGGTAACCAAAGTATAATTAACTTAGTGCACCAACATATCCACAGAAATAAAGCTTGCATGTTACTTACATTCGGCGGTTGGCCTTTACACGATCTGGAATTGTGACCCTTTTGGAAGCATTTCTGGCAGGTCATTTGTCTTCCTTGTCTTCCCATTTTTTTTCTTTCCTTCCCATTCTTCAGGATTTCTTTTTTTCTTAGGCCTGTCAGGCATCTTCTGTGTTGCTGGTGGCTGTATGGCTGGCATCCCTGTTGGTGTCCATTGATTCATGCCTTCAACAACTGGTACCTCATATGCATAAGAGGCCTTAAATCTTGACAACTTGTACCAATCTGAAACATATTCTTCAACTCTCAATTTTTTTAAACTCAATACAGTCATGGCATGTCTACAAGGAATCCCAGATATATCCCAATACCTACAGGTGCATTTTCTATCTTCCAAATATACAATATAAGTGTTTCTGCCTGAATTGACTTTATTTTTACTATTCATGTAATCCTCAACTTCAAAACCACCTCCACCAGGCCATAGGACTTTGCATTTCTTGCTACCTTCCCTATTTCGTACAATCTTAGTCCAAATCTTAGGCCCAAATTCTCCCACAAACTTAGCAGATCCAAACTCTCTCCTAACAACATTTCTTGCTGTACACATAGCTCTCATTGCTTGATTGATAGAAATTATTGCCTTGTGTCGTGCATCATCAAATAAGGCATTGAACACCTCACACATGTTATTGTCGACCATAGATGACTTAATTTCGGCTTTGAAAAAAGCTCTGCTCCAGTGCTTGGGATCCACATTCATTATGTCATCCCTTGCTGCAGGCTTCAATTTGCCTAACTCTGCTAAGGCTGCATTAAATTCTGCCTCATTCAGTGCTTTCACACATCTCCAAAATAAGGCTTGCAATTCCTTCCCTTTGTGTTTCTTCCTGAAGTTGGCATATCTATGCCTAGCACAATGTTTGTGTTCTGCATTTGGAAAAAGGGCTGCAACGGCATTTATCAACCCCTGCATTTAACCAAGACATTATCAATTATAACCATAATAAAAAAATTACACTACATTATCAGATCAGGGACCAAGAAACTACAACAATAAAAGGTTGGGGACCAAAAAAGTGTAATAACAAAAGTTTAGGGACCAATAAACTGCAGTAATAATAATTAAGGGATCAAAAAGTGCATATATAAACTTATTCCATGCACACCATGCACGTATGACAGTATAACTGAAACTTGAAAAGTACACTAAATTATATAT